TTTATATTTTTCCAATTAACATTCATTCATTCATTCATTCATTCATTCATTCATTCATTCATTCATTCATTCATTCATTTACCACTGACTTAGTGCAAAGGATTACTCCAAGCATTTAGTTTACAGTAGCACAATATAACAATGACTCAGCCACCCAGCCACCCAGCATTAAAAAGATCGGCGCATGAACTATAGATACAAACCCCAAAATGATGGTGACACTGGGAACACACTTAGAATAGCCTAAGAGAGGATTCCTCTTGAAACAGTCTTTAGTAGAAATGGACACTTAGTACGGTTTGGCGCTCCAAGCATTTAGTTTACAGTAGCACAATATAACAATGACTCAGCCACCCAGCCACCCAGCATTAAAAAGATCGGCGCATGAACTATAGATACAAACCCCAAAATGATGGTGACACTGGGAACACACTTAGAATAGCCTAAGAGAGGATTCCTCTTGAAACAGTCTTTAGTAGAAATGGACACTTAGTACGGTTTGGCGGTACAGGCCCACGGATGTTGCTTAGGTGTCCCAGATTCTGCACCTCACCTTCTCATGTGGGGCACCCACTCAGAGAAGGAGGTGGAGAAGGGAAGCCTGCAGGTCTGCTCCTGATGGGATGCCCACACAACAACTGTGGGCCCTATCCACCAAGCACACCAGACCGTCGTAATTGGTCAACTCTAGTCTTTAGCATCCTCTTAAAGGATGGGAGGGAGAGGGTCTGATAATATATTCATCAACTATGCATATCTTGCTCAATTATATTATCATTGCCCTGTTTTATGTTGCTACCTCTCAGGAACTGTGAAGTTAATCATTTACGTATTATTATTGTAAGGGACGTGGCGGCGCTGCGGGCTAAACTGCAGAAGCCTGTGCTGCAGGGTCAGAAGACCAAGCAGTCGTAAGATCAAATCCACGTGATAGAGTGCGCTCTCGTTGCTTTGTCCCAGCTCCCGCCAACCTGGCGGTTCGAAAGCATGCAAATGCAAGTAGATAAATAGGGACCACCTCGGTGGGAAGGTAACAGTGTTCCGTGTCTAAGTCTCACTGGCCATGTGACCATGGAAGATTGTCTTCAGACAAAACGCTGGCTCTATGGCTTGGAAATGGGGATGAGCACCACCCCCTAGAGTCGAACACGACTGGACAAAAATTGTCAAGGGGAACCTTTACCTTTACCTATTATTGTTCCCAGAGGAGAACAATAATGCTCTGTAACATGAGTATATTCCCTGGTAACAAATGCATCTTAATAAATGGACCACTGATCTTATTGGCTGAAGGATTCTGGGAGTTTTAGTCCAAAAGCTTAAATTTTCCAAGTTGTATGTTTATAGGGTGAAGCAGGCATTTATACATTCTGGAGAGGAAAGACCCATACTTTTTACTGACTATTATGTCATTGATAAACAGCAGACAACTGTGTGAGGTTTCTGAGAGAAATTAATTATGCAATTTATCTTGATTTGAAGGAATGCATTATTTCAGTGACCTCGATGTGCTTTATTTGTGTTCTACTAAAATACATTCAGCAGCTCATATCATTCAGCTATCCACAGTTTTAATGTTGGAAGTCTAAAGCTACAGTACTTTTTTTTTTTAAAAAAAAATTAGACTGCTGTAAACATTCCTTAAAATGCAGTTCTGCCTAATTGGTTTTTGTTTTCTTTTCAAATGAACTTGTTAGTCCTCAGAAGTTAAATAGGACTTCAGCATGAAATATTACTACTGAGGGTGCACTGAATTTTCAGCATAACCTACACAGTCATCTGTTATTTCTACCCTTCTTTCCTTTTTAATCATTTTGAATGCCACAGACTTAACCAGCTTTTCTTTCAATTAATTCTCTGCATGGTTTGTGAATTTTCATCATAATGTAGGTTTATTATTTCTGTTACTGGCAACATAGACTCAGAAAACTTGGAAAGTGCAAAGTTACACAGATGAAATTTAAAAGCTGACAGGTTATTTAAATATATATTTACAGAGGGGGCAATAGCACATTCTGAATTGGGTAGTGGTGATAAATTATCAGGTTGTAGCTGAAACATTAGCTGTGCTTGATGTATATGGTATTAATAAATAAATTGCAGAACTTCACAGCTGCTGTACCTTGAAACAGGATCTGGTGAAATGTAATAGGTTTGGTAGCATGACTGCTTGCTCTCTGTTTTTGTTTAAGGGCAAAGACTGGACTGGCAGTTATAACATAAAGCGGTCTTCATCTTTCGTTTCTTATGTTCTCAAGATTGTTGTAGTGCTTAAATTAATTATCACAATACTGTAGTGCGTCTTTCCTGTTCTTTTCTTTTTACAATTAACCTTTTTAGGCTGTTTAATTATTTGAAAATTAAAGTCTGTTTAAGTCTACAGGCACTGCTTGAGATTCTGTATTTAATGTTGCATCAGCAATGCCTATGCTAATTCTTCTATTCAAAGGCTTTAACTTTCTGTCTGTCTGTCTGTCTGTCTGTCTATCTGTCTATCCTGCCCCATTAGCGTTACCACTCTCTAGGCAGTTATATTAAAGTCTGCAGATACAGATTTGATGTTGAGGGCCAAAGACAGGGAAATCATCATTAGTTTCTAATTAGTCCATGCCCAGTTCACTGATTTGTTTGCACAGAAATAAAGAGCCGTTCAGTTCCACAGCTCAACAGATTTGTCCAACAGATCCTTGTCTGAGTTCATGTTTTCAAGGTTTGAGTTGTGATGGGATTTTCTTTTTTTTTAAATTTTCTTTTTATTATATAAATCCATCCATACTGATCTAACATCGTGCCACCAGGGTACAGCTTGTAATCATTTGTAAAACAACTAATACACACATTACGCTCCTAATCTACAAAACATCCTTCTAACCATTGATAGAATAAGTCCCATGTTTGATAATATTTTGTATCTCCTTTTCCTTTGATTTTCAGTGGGGATTTTCTAGATAGATGGGTCAGCTGCAGTTGAATCAGGGCTGTTACTGAACATTGTTTGGGCTGCTAGGAGATAATAGAATCATAGAATAAGTGAGTTGGAAGGGGATTATAAGGCCATCGAGTCCAGCCTTCCCGCTCAATGCAAGAATCCAGTGAGGAAGGTGGTTGTTATATGCTATCAAGTCAGAACATACTTGTAACAACTCCCATAGACCTTTCAAGATACAGTAAGTGAGATATTCAAGGTGTGGTTTTACCAGTTCCATACTCCCAGTGAGATTTCATGGCTATGTAGGAATTTGAACCCAGGCTTCCTGAGTTCTAGTCTATCACTTTATCCATTACACCAACCAGGGTGTCAAAGCTATTACATTTCACCAGATTCTGTTTTAAGGTATGAGAGCTCTGTTAAAATTGGAGATACAAAAAAAATCTAATCATTAATGAGATTATAGGTGAAACCAACCATCTTGACACAAAGAGAGAGTATCTCAAGAATTCAGACAAGCCTAGGATAAACAGTGGATGACTATCATTTATCCTGCCCCATCCCATGCATAAGTGTCAACTTACACACCAGCTATAATGTTTAAATGCATACGAAGTATAACAACAGGTTTAAAGTATGAAAAAAAAACAGTATAGAGGGGCTTAGCATACTTTGAGGAAGATTTGCATAAGAAGTGGGAGATGGTGAGGTATTGGGCAATACTAAAGAATTTGTTGTATTTTCCCAAAGGGTCCATGTTCATTAAGTCCAAACTAGCTGCATTCAAATGAGATTTGATTCTTCATTTTAAATCACAAAAACATTTAGGCTTTTGCTTCTCTTGGCTAAATAAGCTGGATCATGTTTTGAATTGTTCACATCCCCCCATATAGCAGAAAATATGTGCATTTTTTGGAAAGCCAGAAAATGGGAATCATAAGTTTAGAATCTATGGCGGCTAGTTTATACCCTTGGATCATTTTCAGTCATGGATGTTAAACCAGATTGAGGGAAATCTTTTGGGCAGAACGAGGGATGTTCTGAAGCACAATTCCATTCCTCTCTGTCAATCTGCTTATCTTCTTTGCTTTCCAAGTTGTCCCTCACTGTTTCTTTTTCACTGTTCTCACTAAACAATCCAGAGTCTGTGTTTGCTGAAGGCAGCTCTGCCCACCCCCAAGCACTTATATAACATTATCTCCTTGGTGGTCTTCACATTTTGGTGACCATATCTTGGTTTGGGCCCACTGGGAATCTTTTGCTTTCGCTATAGATTAAAACCAGCTGTTATACATCTTGTCTTTATTGGGAGATTATTAGTATGTGTCTACCTAAGATGGGAAATCTAAGCTTTTGGTTGTTGAAATGCAGCATCAGCAAGCGTATGAGAACTAAACAATTTTGCTTACACAAAAGGAGGAGTAAACAGCTTTGGTAAATACTTCAGATGCTGCCATTAATGTCTATAAAGTATATAAACAGAACCTATGAAAAATAAAATGTGTTTGGACTTAAATATAAAGAGAGACGAAGGAAGTAAAGGAAATTAAAATCCTACCCATCTGATGTTAACTTTTAAAATCCTCAATTTCTCATACAAAAGAGGCAATCAGAATCCATTTTAACACACTAAAAATGCAATCTCTTTCTTATTTGTTAGCTATGTCGGTATGTAAACATCTCACAGAGAATTTTGGACCACCTCTTTCTGTCAGGCAGCATTTAATGGTCGAATGATCTTGTGCCCCAGGGTCTTGGCAGCTATCCTCCAGGGGCCAACTTCTGGGGATTACACTGACAGTCAATCAGTGGACCATGTCCAATGTAAACTAGATGAGGACCATTTAAAATCATTTACTATCAACAAGTCAAATTAGCTTTATGTGGGGTAGAAGCTGTTCTTGGAAGATTCCATAACAATGTAGAATGTTAATAGACAGTTTTGTTTGTGCTTTTTGTTTGGGGGAAAATTCCTGAAAGCTAGAATGTGCCTCATTTAACTTTGGATAACTTTTAGTATTTATATTTAATAAATAAATCATGACTTGTTTTTCTCTTGCTTTCCCCCAAGGTGGAAATAACTCTCCAAGATGTCAATGACAATCCACCAGTATTTCCTACAGATATGCTTGATCTGACGGTTGAAGAGAATATAGGAGATGGGTCTAAAATAATGCAGCTGACAGCCATGGATGCTGACGAGGTATGAAATTGTTATTTCTTTCAGTACTGGTACTATACAATTTTCACACAAAAAATCATAAGGTTTAAATGTCCAGTTTTGGCAAATGTCAGCTTTCTCTTCTCTCAGTGCAAAATAAAGAGTTTTAAACAGATATGCTTGGGTGAAATAGCACTGAGGAAGATAAGAAATACTTATTTTATTTTATTTGCAACTGCTGATCCATGAGATTTTGCAGTAATGTGTTGGACAGGAATCTACTGTATGCTTGATGGCCACCAAAGATGCTTAAAGATCTCATTTTTAAGTTTTCTTTTTATCTGCCATAACTTCTGTCTAGTCCCTCTGCTCATCTTCAAGAAAGCTAAGCATGTCTGGGGGTGAGCTGCTTCAGAGAGCCACAGAAACAAATCTATGACATAAAGACAGTTAAATCCAGTGGAGGATGCAGTTTTGAACAGCTCTCCACGTACTGTTGAACTGCAACCCCCAGCATCCCTCACTGTTGGTTCTGCTCACTTGGACTGATGGGAACTCCAATCCAGCAGAGGCCAGAGTAAGAGTCATAGGTCCTTGCCCTTATTCAAAATAAAACATTTCTTCTGTTTTCCAACCTTTCCCCCTTCTTAGCACTGCCAAAATTAAGGAGTTTATTTCACATGGGACACAGTACTTTATGAAACACGTTCCTCTGTTTTGTATTTATGCTACAAAGAAGTAATTATTGATGTAGGTTGTGGATGGGGAATATATGGGCCTCCAGATATTGTAGGACTGAAACTCTCATTAAGCCACACTACCACAGCCAGTAGTGGGAAATGGTGGGAGTAGTCGTTCAGGAACAGCTGGAGAGTCATGCCTTCCTTGATATACGTATGTTCCCCACAACATTTAGTTCTGTGGTATCTCCTCACAGCTATAAGATTTCCATTTCTAGAAGGGCATTTTCTTTCTTGTACATATCTACTGTTAGTGTATTTATGCATGGCAGACTAAGTTTTTCTTTGGATGAGATATTTACTTGAGAAAACAGTTTGCTCAGGTTACATTCCATTATAACATATTCAGATCCTAGAATTCTTTAACTTACACTGATACATTTTAATATAAAAGGGAAGTTGATAATTTATTTATATCTGACCCGTTCCTTATTCCAAATCCATTCTCCCATTTGTTAATTAAAATTATTATTGCTTAAATGTTTATAACAAGTTCCTGAAATGAGCTGACTTTTGGATGGTGTGGGCTTTTTTAAAACCACTATATAGGGTGCAAATGCTTTGGTCACTTACACTATCATCAGTGGTGCGGATGACAGCTTTCACATTGATCCAGAATCAGGAGAACTGATAGCAACTAAGCGTTTGGACCGAGAACGCCGCTCCAAATATTCTCTGCTGGTTCGTGCTGATGATGGTCTGCAGTCTTCAGATATGAGAATAAATATTACCATTAGTGATGTTAATGACCACATACCCAAGTTCTCCAAACTATGGTATTCTTTCGACATACCAGAAGATACCACTCCAGGTAAATAGAAGAAGCCATCAGAATTTTTGTAGCAATTTCTGTTTTAATGCGCTTGTAAGAATTATGATAGCTTGTACTACCTGGGAAGTATTATGTTCCAGCCACTGCCACAAGCAAGTTCTTTTGAATTTAAATAAATTTTATTCCATTCAGGTTTCACTGAAGGAATGGCATTAACTGGTCAGGTGCCTTGATTTTACTGGTTTGTTTATTGTTTACATTCTTAGCTTGCAGTTTTCTTATACTGTGCATTTTGTTTTAGCTGTCCTTAGCCCAGAAAATTCATCATCCACCACTACTGTTGCTATTGGTTGATGGAATATATATTCAAATTACTATCAGAATATTGTCTTGAATATCTGGGCTAGCTAGACTATCTTCAAGATGGGAAAGGGGAGTAAGTCCATTATGTTAATTGTATTTCTGTGATTGACATAGGCATGGAATGTCGAATGAGTGAAAACACCTCTGTGATGTCTACGGAGCTATATAATCCTTTGTTTTTAATGTAGAAGGAAATTCAAAATGAGCAAGCAGAATGATAGCCTCTGAGCTTTAAAAAAATCTCTCAGTAAATATCAGGAGTACTTGACATTTGTGTGTTGAAGGTTACAGAAAGAGGTTATATGATCTCCTTTTTAAAAAAGGCTTATAATAAGAGAAATCTACATGCAGGTAGTGTAGTAAGCCATTTTGAAGCATGACAGTCCTCAAATATTTATTCATTTAAAATATTTATATGCCACCTTTCTCCTAGAATATCAAGGGTGGCTTACAATAGTAAAAAAATGTAAAAGTAAAATAGTAAATAAGAACAGCTAAATAATAAATTATTATGACAACAATAAACATCAGAAAAAATCATTGGTTTTATTTGACATTTAAACTGCCAGAATGCAGCTGCAGTTGTGCTGAGCTTATGACTGTTAAATAGAAATGAGTAACCAGTATGAAGGAATAAAGCAAAGAAGGAAAAGTACATAACTTTATTAACTAAGCCCATAGAGCTGGCTTACATGTTACAAGTCTGCCTCTCTCACCCAAACAGGGAACAAGGTCGGGGGGGTGGGTGGAGAGGAAGCATCCTCAGAGAGACAAGGAAGAAAGACTAGGTTTACCAGTCTACATATAGATCTAGGGGAGAAAACATCTTGGCTGTTTACTTATTGCTCCTGCCGTGCAGATCAAAATGTTTTGGTACTGTCTTCAGAAATAGCAGTACTGATGGATTTTCTCAGTATATATTCCTTCCCACTTAATCAGCACAGATTTATAATTATCTAAGTAAGTATATAGCAACTTTCTAATTGTTCTGATTCTATCCATTACTTTCCTGACCTGCTTGTAATATTAGACAACAAGTCACATATTTTGAAATTTGACTAAACAAGAATCTGGATATAAATTATCTATTGAATGTGGTCCACATTTAGATTCTATTTATTTCATTAGGAAAACTTAATACATGATTGGTTCTCCCATAGAAAGCAATAGAACTTAATCTATGACTTTTAAAGATACTTTTGATACTTATTTGAAGTTCTGTTCCTGAAACTATTCTATTGGATGATTAGTGTTGCTTAATTATTGTCCCTAATTGCTCTCTAGGTTCTTTAGTGGCAGCCATCTTAGCTACTGATGAAGATTCAGGTGTAAATGGAGAAATTACGTATACTGTGAGTGAAGATGATGGAGATGGAACATTTTTCTTAAATCCAATCACTGGAGTTTTTAACTTAACTTGTTCTTTGGACTATGAAGTTCAGCAGTACTACATTCTTACAGTTCGTGCAGAGGACGGAGGTGGACAAGCCACTACTGATAGAGTTTATTTCAATATATTAGATGTAAATGATAATTCACCTGTATTTAGCATGGCTTCTTACAGTACATCTTTAATGGAGGACCTGTCCCCAGGATCTACAGTCCTTATTTTCAATGTTACCGATGCAGATGATGGTATGTATTTTCCCATACTTTAAAATGAATTTATTTTGGTATAATTGTATTTGAGTGTTTACATTACATTACATAGGCATCCTTCAGTCTCGAGAGACTATGGTAACATGCTCTGAATCGAGGAGTGTCCTCTCCAGAGCATGAAGCATGGGTAGGGTAATATGGAGAGAGTAAGGGTTGTATCTTCTAAGGCATTGGTTCCCAACCTTCGGTAAGATAGGTACTCTTTGACTAAAATTCACAGAAGTCTTCACCACCAACTGTAATTGGCTGGGATTTCTGAGAGTTGCAGTCAAAGAACTCCTGGGTTACCCAAGGTTGGAAACCACTATCCTAAGGGGAGAAATAACAGTAGTTATTTTATTTTATAAATTAAAAGAGGTAATAAGCATGTACTATGTTTAGCATAGTAGCATCTGAAATATCAAGAAATTTCAGAGATCTCTGTTTGGCTGATTCTGTCAATGCTGATTCTCTCCTTTTAGAGGACTCTGCCCATTTTTCATAACAATTAGCTTTTTACTCTTCAAAAAGCACCATTCAGCACTCCTTGGCAGGGACCAGAATTTTGTATTTTATAAAGAATTTATTGGGGGGGGGTTGGCATAGTCTGCCTTCGCCCCACAGCCTCCAGGAAAGCTCTTACCACCTGGACACCCAGCAGGCATGGGGGAAAGGAGGACAGTTATTCAAGAATGGATCGACTTAAGGGGAGCATTAGCAGAGGATGAAGGAGAGATTATTGGCAGGAATAAAGGAAGAAGAGTAGGCAGAGTCATGGGACTTCAGAGGGAAAATAGAATGAGGTGGAGAAACCTCAGGTGAGAAGGAGGTGGGGGAAGGCAGCGGAGGCTTGGAATCTCTTGTTTTGCTACTTCAGGGAGTGGAAGGCAGAAGGATTTGTGGTAAGAAACGGCTGATCCCAGCCTGGTTGGCAGAGGATGGGGCTGCAGAAGACATCACCTTGGTCTCTGCACAGGTTGACCAGAGCAGCAGTACCCACTCCTACACAACTGCAATTCTGGCAGCACAAATGTGAGAGGCAGAGGAAAACATCCAGAGGAGCAGAGAGGCCCATCCACGTATCCCTCACCTGGTTGTACTGACTGTCTTTGAAAGGACTGTGGCCAGGGCCTGGAATCAGTCTTTCCTCCTGTTTCTCAGGGCTCAGATTCTCAGGGCCCTCAGTGAGATTAACTCGGGCTCCTCTTGAAGGAATACCAGCTGGAGGTTTAGCACAGGGAAATCAACCCACCCTGAGGAACCCTCGGAAGGGATTAGAGCCCTGGACTCTGCAGCTTGTGGAACTCACCAGGAGTGATGATTCACCTTTTGGATAGATTACAGATTCACCATCACTGTTCAGCACTCCAAAATAGCCATTCTCCAAACCTGGAGGTGGACTTCTTGCCACTTCGTATTTTTCAGGTTTTGTCAGTTTTTGTCCAGCTTCCAGAGCTGTGTTCTCAATACATTCTCTGAATCTTCACTTTTCAAGTGTGAATTTAAAAATGAGAGATTGCACTCCTTCTGGGCGATTTCCTGTTTTTCCATTATAAACATTGTTGAAGATAGAGAGTTACGCAAAATATCCATTGTCACTTTCCTGTTTTAATACACCCTCTGGAAACAATAGTTGCTTGCATTCATCTGGGATTTTTTAAAAAATTACAATGGCATTGTATAAACAAAACGAACATCAAAGAGAATTAATTGTAACTTTTCAGTCTTGAACAAATAGACCATATACAGTACCTTTTTCTGATTCCATTTAAAAGTTTAATTGTAAGGTATCATTTTAAAAAGACATGTTCTGAACATTTTGCCATTTTCTTCAGAATTCACAGAAAGGCTCTTCTGTGAGCACAGTCTGGTACCCACATATGTTTAATACATAAATAATATAATAATATAGAATATCATTTCGTAATAATTGAAGAAAAGTGATCACTGATAACCTTGCTTTGGATTTTACAATCCAGTTGTAGTTTCAGATGACAACTGATACGAATATAAAACATATCTTTATTTATAGTAAGTTAGATCATTGACTTATTTACCTTTGAGCTGATTATTGTATCTGACATTGGCTTTTCAGGGTCTCAAGCTGAAATTTTCTCTGCCCTTCCTACCTAAAAATCTAAACAACAAGCAAAGCCCTGCTCCCCAGTATGGCATGCAGGTGCATGTCAAAGCCTGATAAGGCTAAAGTGTCTCATCTCCCTTGCCCCTGCTTGTAAACTCTCCTCCAAGCTCATGCTACAATATGAGAAGTGTTCTTGTGATGCTAAATTAACCTTCTACAACCGGTTGCCCTCCAGATCTTTTGGCCTTCAGCTCCCATGCTCCATACCTGTTAGCTGGGGATTATGAGAAATACAAACCAAGACACTTGGTGGGCACTAGCTTTTGGAAGATTGTGCTAAATTACACTATAATCTTCAGACCATTTTTAAAAAGCTGCTGTCTATTAGGAATATTGTGATTTTCTACTAAAGGCATGTGGAAGCCCCACAATCCTATTTGCTCAAAAAAAGGAGGGCATGCAAATTGGAGATGATGCACCCTATACCCTTTGGAACACATTCTGACATGCTGTATCCTTGGGTCCATGATGTTATTTGCACATTTCCAGATACTCATTTTATGAATTCACAAACGTTCTATTGAATGGGAGGAACACTAATGGCTATGACTGGGATATGTTGCACCCTAACTGCATGCCATTTCCACCCAAAGTATATACAATAATCATCCTTCCACAGTCATAAACACAATCATTTCTAATACTGTAGTATACTGTACAGTGGGGTCTCTACTTAAGAACGTCCCTACTTAAGAACAATTCTACTTAAGAACAGCTCCGTTTGCTAAATTTTGCTTCTACTTGAGAACAGAAATCCTAGATAAGAACAGGAAAAAAAACCTTTCCTGCTCTTTTTTTAACCTTAGGTCATCTTAGGTTAAAAAAAAATTCTCCCCCTAGTGGTAGAGTACGTATTAACCAGCTTTGCATTAGTTCCTATGGGAACTAATGCTTCAATGTACGAACGCCCCTCTACATAACAAAAAAAAAACAGCCAGAACGGATTAATTGGTTTTCAGTCCATTGCTTCAAAATTCACTTCGTCAGAAGTGCTTTTAACACTGTTCCCTGACCTAAGGAAAAAAAAATATCCCCCTCTAGTGGCAGAAGGCGGAATAGCAGCTTCCCATTAGTTTCTATGGATGGAAAAGAGCAGATACGGATTAAATGGTTTTCAATGCATTCCTATGGGAAATGCAGATTCTACATAAGAACTTTTCCACTTGAGAACCACCTTCCAATACGGATTAAGTTCTTAAGTAGAGACCCCACTGTAATAATATTTCAGTACAATTTGGCTAAAGTGGGTAGAAAAACTGAAAAAGCAATGCACATCTTTCTCTTCCCCTGCAGTCTGATAGGAGTGCTGCAAGGGAACATATCTGTAGCAACATCATTTTGAGCCCTCCTTAGCTTTTCAGTGGTTGACATGCTGAGGAGAGTTTAGGAAATTCAACTGTCACTTGCCTTCTCCTATGGCACCAGAAGCTCACTCTGATTACTTTCTATTTCCCTTTTATTCAATTCAAATCCCTTATCATCGTTTGAACCCTTCAAATTGTGTTTATCTGCCCTGTGGGTGAACAACAGTTATTTGCTTTGCCATGTACTCATTATGGAATCACACAAATTACCCCTGATACAGTTAATTTCTGCATATTTGTCTTAAGACAGCACACAAGCATCATTCTGCCATAACCATCTTTCACGTCTTCAACCGTTAGATTTTTTCCCAGCCAATTTTCAGCTTGACATCCCTTTACAGATCTGCCTTATTTAAATGTTTTTCGAGCAATAGGACATTTCAGTTTTTCAGCATTTCAGTCTGAATCTTAGCCAGTCAAAGGCTTTACTATCACATGAGGAATACCAGTGTAATATGAATTTGTCTTCTTCCTTGGAGTGTATTTTCCCCTAATTAGATCAACGGAAAAAATAAATCTGCCAGCTAATAAATTTCCAGTTGATTTTTTACGCTTAATTTGTGACATACATACAATTCTTCACTATATCACAGCAGTTATTGTCTGTAGAGTCATACTAAATGTAAAATAAATATTGGAGAAAACATTAATTTATGTCTGACATTTAAAGTGCATAAAAGTATTATTTAATACATCATATATTATATATACATGCACACTCTAAAATCATACATCTCTTTAATTTTTGAATGAGAAATAGCAGTGATTAATGTACTATATTTACAAGGCTTCATTTATTCCCTAAGAAACTCAGATTGCAACTGAAGTGTATTAGCATGAAGAATAAATCATCTGAGTGTATAAATACCTAATATCATGTTCTGCAAAGTGAAAAAAATAGAATGTTTAGGAAGGGCAAGATAGAAAATAAAATCCATTAAATGCAAACCTCAGCCTTTATGACCAATTAAGCAGATAAAATTTCCACATTATTTATTCAGTGCTGTTAGGTCTCAGCCACTAATGCAGAGACATGAGAAAGTAATAGACAGTGGTTTGACTTCACAATGAATAATACAAACAGAATGGGATCTGGGTTTTTTAACTGTCACTGTATATTCCCCAACGTTAAGAGTTATTTACCCACTTCTGTTACAGTTTTATGCAGTTAAATTGTTTATATCCCACCGAAATCAGGATGTTCTTTCTTTCTTTCTTTCTTTCTTTCTTTCTTTCTTTCTTTCTTTCTTTCTTTCTTTCTTTCTTTCTTTCTTTCTTTCTTTCTTTCTTAGTAATTGTTACGTATAAAATTAGTGGTTTGCTTTCTTGACCATATGTTCTTAAATGCTATAAAGAAAGCTACTGAATACCATTCTTAAATTACATATCTGTTGCACTCACCCTTGAAATTGTGAACCTACAGCTCTTTACAAACAGTTGCAAATGAATGCAGATATTTAATATCTTTTTTTTGTTTGTTTCAAATACAGGCTAGCTAGACCATTAGGTAGAATGCAGTTCACAAGTCAGTTATGAGAAATGGTCTCAACCTTTGATTGTGCAAGCAGAAACATTACTGATTCAGTTGTGACAGTTTAGCCTAGCTGTAGCGCGTAGTACCTGAACTAATTATTAGTATGCAGTGGCCAAAATCCTACAACAAAACATCTCAAATGTAAGGGGAATGACACAAGCCATTTTCACTTTTTCTGCCTTTATGTCATGTGCCCAGTTGTGCAACCAAATGTACAACCAAGTGCACAAGCTGGCTGTCTGAGCATATGATAAATGTGGCAGGCAAAATGATTGCTCACACTTACAATTTCTGATTATGCAAATATAATAAAAGTTTGACCAGTGGATCTTATTTGTTACATTTTAGTACACTTGGGCACAGAACAGAACATTATATTTATCGTAACTTCCCCCCCCCATAAAACCCTTTTCCTAAAAGAATGCAACAGCACATAATTTGGTTGAAATTCAACTAACTGCTAGTCTCAACTAGTCATTGGTAGAAATCAATGGGTTATGTATACAGTATCCCACTAATTCAAGGCATCTGCTTTAGTTGGGACTAGCAATTGAATTTAGGATTTACACTTTTTTCCTCCCAGCTGTACCAAATTCACTAATGAAGACTTTGAAATCTTTCTTGGGGAGACACCTGGCAAATGGAGATTAGGTTAAGAGTTCTGATCAAAGACTTGGATGTACAGTCTGAGTCAATTTGTATTATCCACCAAATTCAGAAACTATCAGTCCTGTGATTGAGGAGCCCAATTTACAATCATTTTCAAAATAATTATGTGCCCACTCAAGATGTACAGAAAGGAAGACATTGGGAAGAAAGCAGAATAGTCAGCCCTATTAATACACCTGTAACAGCCTGTGACAATTACCTTAGAGCTGTATATGCATATAGGGTCTACATTCAGTTATAGCACTAAGCATGCTGATTCTGGTAAGCATATGATGATGGGCTATGGACATGCTCTCATTTCTTATTCCATAGTGTTCATTGTAGCAGGTGGGAGGATGACCTTTATTTGTTTAGGGTGAATACTTTGCTGAATAAGAGAAGTGAAATATCTCCCTCTCTCTTCTTTTTGCAGGTTCTAACTCAGAATTGTCCTACAGTATTACTTCTGGAGATAGCTTAGGCCAATTTAATATTGACAAAAGTGGAATTCTGAGCATCAAGCAGCCGTTGGACCGCGAAAGTCAGTCTTTCTACAGCCTTATTGTTCAAGTTCATGACATGGCTTCCCCACCAGCCTTCCGATACACAAGCACAACTCAAGTTTCTATAATTCTGCTTGATGTGAATGATAACCCTCCAAGTTTTATCTCTCCTAAGCTGACCTATATTCCAGAAAATACACCTATTGATACTATTGTATTCAAGGCCCAAGCAACTGACCCTGACAGTGGTCCCAACAGCTACATTGAGTATAATCTGTTAAATCCTTTAGGAAACAAATTCAGCATTGGTACTATTGATGGAGAAGTAAGACTCACTGGAGAACTTGACAGAGAAACAGTTTCTAACTATACCTTGACTATAATTGCCACGGACAAAGGTCAACCATCTCTCTCTTCATCCAGTGACATTGTTGTGATCATCCTTGACATTAATGATAATAGCCCTGTCTTCGCTCAAAAATTATACAAAATTGAGATTGTAGAAAATACTTTGACTGGAACAGATGTAGTCGAGGTATTTGCAGCAGATGGAGATGAGGGTTCTAACGGGCAAGTTCGCTATGCCATCATCAGTGGAAATACTCACACGGCGTTTCGGATTGATTCTGTCACAGGGGTGATAACAGTGGCTAAACCATTGGACCGAGAGAAAATTCCTTCATATTCACTGACAGTACAGGCAGCTGATCGTGGTAGCAGCCCAAGGACTGATACAGCTACCGTCAACATTATTCTGTTGGATGTTAATGACTGTATTCCTACATTTGAGCTCTCCCCCTACTCTGTAAATGTCCCAGAAAATGTGCAAAGATTACCTAAGGTCATTCTTCAGGTTAGTATTCTTGAAGAAGCCATATATAATTATAATATAATAATTTATATTATGTTTAGCGTATAGACACTGCAAGTCCTATACAGTTAAAAGACATGCAGAATGACCTGAGATCCTATCATTGCCACAGGTCTATGGCCACTTTAGCCTCTCTTTAGCGTAACACATGGATTTAATAGGGATTTTTGTTATTATGTACTGTGAAATCATCCTATGATAGTGACCCTGTGAATGAGTGGCCTCTAAAATACCTTGTATTCCGCATGTATGTATGTATGTATGTATGTATGTATGTATGTATGTATGTATGTATGTATGTATGTATGTATGTATGTATGTATGTATGTATATGTATGTATGTATGTATGTATGTATGTATGTATGTATGTATGTATGTATTTTATATGCCACCCACACTACCCAAAGGTCTCTTTCTTAGCATTATTGTATTTTTCCAGTGAGTTGTGCCTTCTCATTTTTACCTCTGTCTTTTTTTTCATATATCTGTGCTGTAGAGTACGGTACAGTGGTGCCTCGCTTGACAATGTTAATTCATTCCAGTGAAATCACTGTAGAGTGAAAACATCATCAAACGAAATTAAAAAGCCCATTGAAACACATTGAAAACCGTTCAGTGCATTCCAGTGGGCTGAATACCTGCCCGTCCAGCAAAGATCCTCCATATGGCGGCCATTTCGGTGCCTGTAAAACGAGGAATCCAACCTAGAAAACAGCGGGGGGGGGCATTTTCTTCAGCCAGCGGCGATCTTGAAACTCGACGATCAGCTGTTTGCTGATCATCGTAAAGCGAAAATCGGTTCCCGAAGCAGGGAACTGATCATTGTTAAACGAAAAAAACCCATTTAAACCATTGTTTTGTGATCACAAAAGCGATTGCAAAAACCTAATTACAGCAATGTCCTCGTTAAGCGAGGCACCATTGTATTGCCATTGTTGCTGATGTTATTATTGCTTTTTTTCATGTGATATATGCCTAACATGTTAAGCAATGCATTGACTTCAGCAGCGGGCAGGAAAAAAAGTTCTTACATTTATGGGGTGGTTTCATGTGGCTAGATCTCTTTGTTCTTCAACTTAGTTTTAATAGATCGGTTTGCATTGCCAATCACATACTACATACATGAAGCATAATAGTGTGCAAATTAAGCAGACGTGAGTATAGTTAAGTATTTGTAGTTATTTGTGTATCTTTCCTTCTATAGGTTGTAGCGAGGGATGATGATCAAGGCCTAAATAGCAAACTGACCTATCTTCTTGTTGGTGGAAATGAAGATGGAGCCTGTACACTCTCAGCTAATGGGGAGCTCCACCTTGTGCAAAGCTTAGACCGAGAAAAAAAGGACCATTATATCATGATAGTCACAGCAACAGATTCAGGTAAGCAAAACTTAATGTCTATCCAGGTTAAAAATTGCTTCAACTGCAAGATATATGATGTGGTGCAGCAAAGCGAATAAGCACTCTTAAAGGCAATTCTAAAAATGGGGGCAGCCCCAAACAAAAAACTGTAACTTTTAAATTGGGCTTCATATCAGCCCCAAATTTGGCAGAAGAGCAGGTCTACTCTTGCTCTGTGCCAAACTTGAGGACATTTGGACTTCAAGGTATGTTTTTTAAAAAGTAAACCTTTTTACTGTCCCATTGAGAAATAGGCAACCCTAAGCTACGCAGATAGCTCACATAAATGGAAAAAGGCCAATCTTGTATATCTAGAAAGGGAATTTTTACCCATTTTTCTTTATTTGGAAAGAATCCATGCTGTAGCAACTGAAATATTGGTCCTAAAAAGGCCTTTCAAATGATTTTGTATACAACTGAGTATGCTTGAGTATCCCTTTGCCAGGAAAAGTGGCTTTTGCAAAGGCTACATTATAGCTCAGTGGGCAGGGTAATTAAAGGTCACAGATATAGGTCACAAAACTGGGGTTTGCTTTAAAGAAAGGAATGGACTGGTAGTCCTCCAGGAAAGAAGCCATTTTGCCAGATCTCTTCAGGGAATTAGCACACAGTTTTACAGGACATATTCAGAGTATTTTCATTCAGGTGAAACTTTACAAATGCAACCTTTAGTAAATTTACCAAGCACATAGCCATGGTGTTTTGCCCCAGTGCTTTGAGTAAATATTCTCTCAGGATTTGTGAGACCAAATAGTCACCTGACAAAAGTTTTCAAAGAGGAAATTGGCTCCCGGTCCAGGGCAGTCTGAACTTTTGAGTCTGTCAATCAGGACCCAATTAACTGATTCTCAGGCGGAAAACTTGTTAACTCCTTCCTGGCCAAAGAGGTTGTTTGGTATTCATGCTTATAGGAGGCTTTTTTTTTGGCCTGGTTTTAAAAATGCAGACAATGCATATTTTAAAAAGAGGAAACAAATATTCAGAAGCTCACTCATATGAGCTGCGAAAGTATGGGTTTTTGTTTTGTGGTTGGGGATGGTTTCTCTTTATGTTAGTTGGTGCCTATATCCTGTCATAATAGTTGGGTACTTCAACCATTCCACCCGTCTTGTCACTGTACGGTTGTTAGGTAATGTAACTGTTACATGCTGTCAATTCACTTCTGATGTGTGGTGACTCTGAATTAATGACTTCCAAAACATCATATCATACTAGCTTTCTAGTCTATATTCTGCAAAGCAGGCACAAAGAGACACCAAGCAGGGGGAAATCCCAGCGTTGATGCCCCATCAGTTAGCCACTTCTCATCCAAATACAAAGCAATTGCCAGGCTGTTTTTCAACAGGTTTTCTAGGTATCTCTGGCTTGGAAAACATGGATAAATCATCAAGTGCTGTGATGAAATCTCTGCTTTATAGGAGGTGGTGGCAATTGATAGGAGTTTATACTGTACATCCAGATGGTCAGTCACGTTCATGAGTGAACTAGCTCTTGAATTGATTGCAGATGCATATGAATAGAGCTGGCTTTGACTTGGATTTTGAAGATTTAGAAGATGAAGGTCTTTCCCCTTTCTTCTCATCTGCATCAGGAACAACTCTCTTTCTTTACTGAATTATGGTACCAGATGAACTTGATTTTGCTGCTGCTCTTGTGTTTGAATCTTGATGCCGCCAATGTTTCAGACACAAGGTGATGACTCATAAATTCTTGTATTAAGGTGGAGAGTGAAAGAATATTTGACAATATTTGCTGCACCATTCATATTGATATTGGGCAGCAACACAGAAAATATGGAAAAGTAGGAGATGTTGAACTTGATTTAACATAATTATTTTCAATCTAAAAGAGACAGCCTAATTTAAGTCTTTTCACTTTCCTCCCAACAGTTTTAGTAAATTCCTAGTAAACATCCTTTTGCAAAGAAAGACCAACATTACATATTTCAGTAGTTAAAGACTTCCGCATTTTGTCCCATGGCTGCCTCAGTTTCTATATGATGAAAGTGGGTCAGAAAAACTGTGGAACTCATGTGGGATGTTTTAAATTACTGAAAATCAGCTTCTTCTGGTGACACTATGATCCTTCTGCAGGTATATTTTATGCAAAGTTTCAGTCATGGAGTTCTGAATGTGCTGTTAGATTAAAACTGAGGCATATTGACTCGCACATGTAAATGCAGATTAAGGGAGAAGAGCATAGAATAGAGGGATCAGAAGAATTGCTTCAGGCACTCTCATTGAGTTGAACATCTGGATTTAGATTTAGTGAGTATAGCATTTGGAGATTAAAAATTACTTTGTTCCTATGTTCACAAGAATATAGCTTGTCTTCATTCACACATTACTAACTGCATTCCCTTCATGTATGCAGCAGCAACATAACTGGATAAATAGAGCTGCACATATTAAATCATGTTTCTAAAATCTTTTTAAAACTTATGCTACAATCATCTGTAAAAAGGTCAATACTTAACTTTTGGAAAGCAACAGACAAGAAACTGTACGTGATTAAACAACTTTTCAAATAAGCTATCCCATCAATTCCCATTTATTGCAAAACTGGCTCTCTTTTGCAAATATTTGTTTAATGTCTGCTAAATATCAGTTTTGTTTTTAAGCTTCTGTTCTTCACAGAATTTTCAACCGAGATAAGCAAATTTTTGTCTTCTGAGAAAAGCTGTGCATGCCAGAGCAATGCAAGAAACATTAGCTTGTCATAAATTATATCCACCCATATGATCTCTGGATGTAAATCAAGCAATAGATATTACCTCATGGACTTTGGTTATGACCTGTGGAAAAATGCTGTTTGGTTATCTTCAACTTAAAATTGTCATTTTACATACTGAGATTCTATATTTAAAGTCTACATTTTAAACTTTAGAAGTTTTTGGTGCTTTTGAAATTGAGCAGTGTATGAAGGGCAGAATTTTACGTGCTAACTTATTTTCTTTCTCCTAACACGTCCATATCTGGTGAAAGAGTATATACATGGTTCACTTGTGGAGTTTTGTATCTCATATTAGCTCTTTCATTGTGATTTTAAAGCTTGTTTTTTGCTTAATAAGTTTGTTTTCAGAATATAAATTTTGTTGTGACAGCAAACACAGAGGCAAATACCGTATTTTTCCGTTTATATGACAACCCAATGTATAAGACAACCACCCCCTTTTCTAACCCAAATTAGAAAATTTGATCCCTGCTTTTCCCTTGCATTTGCTAAGCCACAGAGCTTTTCAAAAGGAATGGAAAAGCAGGAATCAGAGGACTCCCTTTGACCGCTGCTTTTCCTTGCCTTTTGCGAAGCCACAGGGCTTAGCAAAAAGGAAGGGAAGGCTCCCTTCGGGTAAAGGCTGCACGATCGCAGCCCTGTGATCCTGAAGTCCTTTCACGGCTGCTTTACCTGAAGGGAGCCTTACCTTCCTTTTTACTAAGCCCCATGGCTTCTAAAAAGGCAGGGAAAAGCGGCACCTTCAGTGTATAAAACGACCCTCAATTTTTTTCTGATTATTTAAGGAAAAGTTGTCATTTTATACACGGAAAAATACGGTAAATTGTGTGTGATTGATAGGTGGATAGCTAGCTATATAAAACATACTTGCTCTATATCATAAGATCTCTGGGCAAAAAAATGATCTTAAAACATGATGCTTAAGACACTGTAGAAATCAAATAGTTTAAAACACAAAATTAAAACACTGAAAGATTTGAACATTAAATTATTGCATTAAACCAACACAGGCATTATCCTCAGCCCCAAAAGCCTCTGATATATAAGTAGGATTTGATATGGTACCAAAAATTATACCAGTACTGGTGACAATTAAACCTCCAAGGAGAGGTTTCCATAGTTGGAGTTCTAGAGTCAAGAAGGCCCTCCCATGTCTCCACACAATGAACTATGGATATGGTAGATATGATGGACATGCATGTATGATATTTTGAAGGTGCATTCACTGCATACTAATTTTGTCCTAGATATTCTAGTCACAAAAACTGATTATCAGCTGCTGTTACTATGAGTTCGCTGTGGTTGTGTGACAGGGGAAGGTTCAAGAAGGGCCCTGTGTGTTCTGAATTTTAGCAAATATCTGCAACCCCAAAAATTCAACAATTTCCACAAAATGGCTAAAATCTAATAGTCACAACTGAAGCAGGGCTTTTGAATCAGTGGAAGTCATGTAGGTGTTGACTCGCCTAATTTAATAGGCTTGTTCTATTTGCAACTTACAACTGGATTTCACAGGCTTCTGTACATTTTCCTTCATGGAATATTGTCTGGAAAGTATCCTCTCAAAAACAGTTGTGTAAAGAAGTCCTTTCAGTCACAGACAATATTGTTGGCTGGCTGCTGGGTTCCATAACTGTAACATATGTATTTTCATGTTCATGTTCATTTGCTCTTCCCTCATATTTTATTGATATGTATGCTGTGTCAGGCAGTGCCTCCAGATGTCCCTTAAACATTCCAGCTGTGCTTTCCAAAGCTGCCCTCAAGGGAATGTTAGGTGCCTCCCTACACTTAGGGAGTGACTTTCGTCCCTCAGTTAACCCAAGGAAGCATAAGCAGCCACTTGAATCTGCTCCTTTTTACTACTGCCATTTGCCTTCTTTATTATAAGCAGGGATATACATCCACCTGTTTACCTCACAAAACTACAATCATAAACTTTCTTCTCTTGTCCACTTCCTTCTTCTAATAACTCATTCTGACTTGCATCTTTTTATATTAGTGTATTCAATAGTCTGCTTGTAGCCAGGTTAACTCAAAGAAGCTGCAGGGTATACAAATTTCCCCCATACTGTGTGCCAAGTGGTTATAGGTTGCTGCTCAAACATGCAGCATTCAGGGTGGATGTAAACATTTTAGAGAACATATGGTGTGCTTTGTCGTGGTGTTTAAGAATCTGAATCCTATACAAGCCAGCAATTTTTAGGTCTTTGCTGCATCTGGAGGATGATCTTTTCCCTACTTAT